TATCTAACCAAATAAATAGTTAATCATGAAAAAAACTCAACATTTTTCGTGTGTTTTATTATTGATTATAAAAACCGCTACTTGAAATGTCTTGTTTGGGGCAGTTACGTTTTTATTTTGTTGGTTAATTGTTTTTTTTTTTTGTTATTTGTTGTTACAGGAATGGTCTTCTTCTTCTTTTGTTTCACGTTTTTAATGTGGTAATAAAAATATTACTCTATGAAAGTATAATATATCGCTGCTGCAAATGCGCGGATAGAGAACCAGACGAAATATATACTTTTATTTCATTGCATCTTATTTGCAACTAAACATGCCTCAAATTCGACTTGCACTATAGAAACAGAAAATGTAAATCAAACCAAAAAAGTTCCGATCATGAGGAGAAATATAAAAACGGATAAGGGTCCAGTTATCACTTATTTGTGATATGTAACAAATTCATTAACACGTTTCTCGTGTTTGTATTTACCTCACACCGAGTTTCTTCGCATAAACAAATTTCAGCTTGGCTGTAGGAGACGATTTGTTTTGATTTTGTTCAGTTTTGTTTTGTAGCGATAAAGGTAAGTTGAGTTTATTATTATGTTACCATATTGAAGAAAAAGATATAAAATTAACAAATCTTCAGAAAAATATGAAATGTTGGAATTTAGATCATGCAATATTGATAAAGAATATCAATCAAATCTACTTGTATCCAAAAACAAAAGGCAAACTTACATCTGCCGTAGCGCAAGACACATATACACCAAGAATTTTCGAGATTTACACATATTTGAATGTAAAATAAAGTCAATAACTACTGATGTATTAACACATTCAACGACTGCGGTGTTTCTTCTTCTTTTTTTATACAAATGTAAAAAAAAACGTCTAAATATGATTCAGATGTGCCCAATTATCTAACAAATTGAACAAGAAAACATACAATTTAGGAAGATATGTTCGGAAAACTTGTATTTTTCTATATCTTGAGGATAATGATGTTTAAACAAACAGAAAGTTTACATCGAAATGAAAGTATTGTTTTATTTGTTTGTACATGATTTAATTTATCTTATTGTTGTCATCAGCTTCAAGATGATGCAACATCTACAGAAATTCAGCATATCAGCTAGCGATATAAGTACAACTAGAAAAGATTTAGAAAATACCCTCTTCAAACTTGAAGGTAATATTATCATCCTTTACTATTCAGTGGCAAAATAAAATTGTGTAAGAAATTAGAGATGCCCGGATGATAATGGATGGCTGTTTCATGTTCAGTGGCATATTAAATGCATATTCAAGACGAGAATAGTTTCTGCTATATAAATATGAACACTGCTTTGTACTAGACCGACCCATTTATCCGGATATGTAACGCGATAGTTCCGACAAGGTTAAAGAAGACATGTCATCCTACCCGGCCCCAAGGGTGGCTGGGGAATATAAATATGGTCACCATTCGTCCTCCTCCGTCCGACATTTAAACCCTCACCAAAGTAGAGCGTTCGTTTGGCTGTGCGAGATGTATAAGAACGCAGCCACGTCCAGTCAGAATGGACACGTTAAATCCGAGTGCCACGCTCTTTGTACCTTAAGAACCCTTGTAACAACTCTTTGAGGGGTCCGTAGGTGGCCTGTTGCAAGGCCAAATTTCTGTCCCTATCCAATATACCCTCATTTTCCCTTGGAAATCCAAATTTCCCCGACCTCATCCCGGACGGCCTCTGTTACATGACCTACCTATTGTATTTATTGTTAATTTGTTCTCGTCCTGATCATGCATGAGATATTAACCACTGGACGTTAAGCAACCAACAATCAATCAATCATTCTACCCAGATACATTATTTTGACTCCGAGCCGATCAGTCTTTGCTCTTACTCCTTAATGTCGCGTGCTTAGCTGAGTTGCAGCAAATATTAATTGTAAAGTTGTTCGTTCGAACCGACCGGGGATCGAACCCACGACCTCCTGCATTCGAGGCGGTTAAGAAAAAAAGAGAATTACCGTAATTCTACCGTAAAAGATTAAAAAAGTATCCTGTATACACGAAAACACTGTGTTCTAATCATGTAATGCCCTAGAAATATAAATGCCTTTTTTTTCCTTGTACAGAAAGCAAAACTGCAATCATCGTGTGAGCTTAGTAAAACATTAATATCCCGGGGAAGAAGACATTTACCAAAGTAAAAACTCTCTTACATGTGTGCATCATTTGAACATGCATTAAAAGGTCTTCCATGATGTGCTAAAACTGTCATATTCAAGAGTCCCCACAAATAGAGGAAAATATATCGTTTTCCCTTAGTTTCATCTTGAAACCTTGAACGCAGAGATCAAAGCAAAATGTATGCTTAAGAACATCATTTTTGTCAACATTATTGTTGGCTGACTCAACTTTCCTACCAATACCGTCCTTTTTTGACACATAATAGCAAAATTTATGGACATCAGAGTGATTTAACTAAGGATTGTCCAAGGAAATTATGATTGAAATGAACAATTGATACTGGTGAATTTATTTTGATACATAACTTAATAATCAAGAATACTTTTTTCCAGGAAAGCTTTCAAAGCAAATGTCAGTATCCAGATCCTACAAACAACCAAATAAGATTGTTAAACTTGGAATGTTTATCATGCTGTATTCTGTTTTTGTGTTAATTGGTTTTTATTTTTGTGGAATCAGTATATACAGCCTTGAAAAAGCTAATACGGTAAGTTAATTGATATTTTAAAATTGAAAAAAAATCCACTGAAGACGATGCGTGTCGATTAGATTCAGAAATGAATATTTGCAATTGAAAAAAAAATAATTAAAAGTACATAAAATAGTTAAAGAGTTTAATCGTATTCATGCAATAGATGGCCCCTTTGCGACTAACACTTTCCAATATGTTTTTGATTTTGAAGACCATATCATAAACTCATAATTTCTAGATTTATATTTTCGGGTTGCTGTCTCATTAACATTTAAGTCTCGCATCTCATTTTATTATGAATACTTACGTTCAACTTTCACCATTCATTGTTCACACCACTTGTTAAAAGTGTATAAACAACAATAATAAAGCAGGGACTTTTTCTCAAAAGCCAAAGTTTAACTTAACACCTTTAAACATTCCGATAATTGTTGACGTCTGCCTTGACAGTGCCCGTTTTTTTTTCTTTTTTTATTATCTGAACGCAAAATTTTGTATTTGCAAAAAACTCTTTCGACGCATGCGACTTCGCTCCTTTTGGAGTTAATACGACGCCCCTGTTTTTGTTTGCTACCTTGATTTGTATCTTTATTGATTGATAAGTTTGAATATCGGTAAACTAATGTTGTCTAAATTTAAGATATTTCCACTGTGACAACGTTACAGCATTGCCGCGTAGGAATATCTAAAAGACAACTAAGGAAATGCACGATTAAACTCATAAAGTCCTGGTTTATATTTGTAGGACTCTAAAGTGCGATGGGGACGCTAAAACGCGATGGTCACACTAAAGTGCGATGGTCTACGCTAAAGTGCGATGATTTGGTACGCTAAAGTGCGTTTTTCCGCGATAGTGCGTTTGTTCGCGAAAGTTAGGAAGTTAGCAACTTTAAATAGCATTCTGGCATTACAAGCCGTTTGTACAAACAACAAATGGACCTGCCGGAAAACCAGAATATTTGTTCATGGTTTTTATTAAAGAAAAAAAAAAACAAATGATCCCAATCCGGAACATTTTTGTTTGGTGCTGGAAGCGGTTAACTTGATTTGGCTAATTTGTGTTTACAAAAGGGCATCAAAACGACCAGTGTAAAACAATTCAAACGAGAAAACTAACGGCCTGATTTATATATAAAACAATAAACGAAAAAAAATATGAAATACAGCAACTAACGGCTACCACTGAATTACAGGTTCCTGGCTTGAAACAGGTTCTTAAAGTATATACTAGATAATGCAATGTAACCATTTCACTTTTTTAAGAACTATCCTACATTAAATAAAAATAAGAAGATGTAGTATAATTGTCAATGAGACAACTATCCATCCAACACCAAATGTTGCTGATGTTTAAAACTAATAACCATGCGGGCTTCAACGTGGAGTCTTGGTCCACGCCGCCTATGAAGTTATTAACGGGCCACACAATGACCAGTGTAAAACATTTCAAAAGCGAAAGACAACGGCATGATTACTAACACAAAACGATAAATGAAAAACTAGCAGGAACACAGCAAATAACAAAAACCATTGCCTGAACCCCATTTCCGTTACACCATCGCACCTTAGCGTGCTATGCCATCGCACTTAAGCGTGTCATATAATCGCACCTAAAAAAAACAACCATCGCAATATGTCATATAATCGCACTTCAAAATACAAACAACCATCGCACTTTAGCGTTTGCCACCATCGCACTTTAGCGTAGATCATCGCACTTTAGCGCGACCATCGCACTTTAGAGTACCATCGCACTTTAGAGTCCTACATAATTATTTTTTGGTAACTTTATTAAGGTTCAGTAAGCGTTGGCTATATTCACATTTTAAGCTTAAACACTTCTTACAATATGTGCTTCGATCAAATCTAGTTGATATTCTATTCCCTTTATTCCGCCAGGAACAAATATTCCAAACTCTTTATTCTGTCTGAATATTTGTTTCATTTGGAACAACATTATTATTAAAGGAACTTCTATTCCTTGTCTGAATTGTTTACCTTCGAAATACCGAGGTCTAGCACTAATTAGAACTCGTACATCACTACAACAATCGTTTTCCAATTCACAAGTGCTCTAAATTCTCCTTATACTATTTTTATGCGTCAACTCATTTTATATACACGACGGTAACCATCATCATCATTATCATTATTATCGTTACCGTTATCATCATTATCATTATTTTTATAATCATTTATCATCATTATCATTATTTTTATTATCATTTATCATCATTATCATTATCATGATTATTATCATTCTTACTATTATTATCATTATTATTTGATTATGTTGAAGAGTAAAAAAATACTGCAGACAGTAGACGCTGATGTACAAACAATTCAACTCATGAACGAAAAACTGCACTCTTTTTTTGAAATTGCAATTCATGGTCATATGACAGAAGAAGAAGTTAAAACAGTTATTATCATGGTGGCTGATCTCTATGAATATTACCATGGATACCTTCTGACCAATGAGACAATTTTGTCTGTTTTAACATTAGAAAACTGCCATAACGATACGATGAGAACCTTAAACTATAAAGACACATTGTTTGTTTTCGATCTATTTTTCCTTGTCATAGATCATCGAGTAAATAAACTTGTAAACCATTTAACGTCAGACATATTTGCCGAAATTGAAGATCCGCTAGTTAGAATAGCGTCGGGAATCAGAGCATCTACATTTCTTCGTGAATGTTATTATCTGCTGGTGATGGGTTGTCGTTTTCATAAAGAGTTTGATAGAATGGATTCTGTTTTCAGATTTATGAATTATGCCAAAGGACACATGACTTCATTGTTTTTCAAAGACTTTACTGACAATACAACTGTTATCATCAATGCTGTAACTGACTTTATCAACAGATATCCGTCCATTGACAATTTTGTTCCTAGAAATAACCAATCATGCTTCGAGGTGATAGATTCTCATCTATCTATCAATGTGTCTCTTCAAGCACTAGCTTTTACTCATGAAATGATTCAACAGGAAATTTTGATGAAGAAAGTACGTGTCCATCTTGCTGAGAAATATCTAACAATTATTACTTTGCTTGTACTGTTTGCATCTATTATTATAGCTGCTTTCGCTGTTGTTTATAAATGCAAACTTGAACTCGTAGACGACTTGAAATATTGTGATAACCTGTTAGAAAAAGAAATCAATTATGAAAACGAATTTTTCAAGGATACTTTGTCAGACGTCATCCCAAGACAATTATTTTCGTCTTTAGATTTTGACTTTGATTTCAAAGAGGAAAAATCTTACAAGGAGCCAGAATTTGAGGACCTTACAGATGAAGTGTTTCATAGAGAGTCTTCAACAACAAATATTTCCAGCAATAGATGGTACGGTGCAGACTATAGTCATTTTACACATGCAGATATGAGAATGAGACATTCTCGCGGAGGGCGATGCAGCTCGTCTATTCATGTACATCGAAGAATCGAAGATGTCACTCTTGATGACCCCTACTACCAAGAAGTCACAGTGATGATGATTGACATCGCAAACTTCAATCGTTTGTTAAATTACTTGTCGGCAAACGAAGTTGTCAACGTCGTGACGTATATGACACGATTGATAGATGACAGAGCGTCTTACTATGATGTTTTCATAGCCTCAAAAGGAACCTCATCCTTTACAGTCATATCAGGTGATCATTTAGAAAAAACTTATATGGGTTACTTAATGTACATTATTTCTATTAAATATTATCGATAATAGTAACAGGAAATTATCGATACAAATTCGTCGTTTCCAAACTTCTTTTCCTGTATTTGTCCACCATATATCCGGAACTCTTTAAAATAAGATTTGCCTTAACGGTGGTTTCTTAGAATTACATAATTTTGCATTCAAATAGAGCGCATTGAATGGACTCACTCGAATATCGAAAAATGGTGTATATTGCTTTTATCGTTTTAAAGATAAAGCAAATTAATGATCTGGTAAACAAAAGTAAAAATATATAGAATGCACGTAAATATCGCGAAAAAAAATCGATTATTGTACTTTAAATTGCCACGCCATATTTCGAAACCCTGTTCAATGATTTTTTTTATATGATATAAAATGATATTTGTATCTCTGATTTGTTTTAATGAAAAATTCAGGGGTTGCCAATTTCGTTTAGTTTAAATAATTTATACATAGAAGGTCAAAATACGTATAACATCGTCATGGTATCTTCCATCACAATTCTTGAATTTCCACGTTTTTTTAAAAGAAATTCTCATGGTGTAACTTTTAATCCTCGGTGTGTATTTTTTTTCAGTCGCCACTGAATAACAAACACATTTATATTTGAAGTTTTGATAATTGGTCTCTTTAATTTTGAAGGGCAACTGAAGAACAAAGAAATAAAACGGCAAACAAATCTAGAACCAAGGATTACATACGCTTTTATTAAAGCCCTTTAACAGAAAAATCCTTCCTTATCAAGAAAATTAACTCGCCTTGCCTTTACTTTTTAAATTATATTACCATCTTTTTTTTCATCCAATAGGTTTTACAGAAGAACAAAGATGTTACCATGCGTCACATATAGCCAATATGGCTTTAGATGTCAGTGTTTCATGTGGAGATTTAGAGATAGATAGTGTGCCAGATTGCAAATTACGCTTATGTATTGGTATTCATACAGGTAGGTACTGTTTCGTTGTTGTTTTGTTTCTACTTGTAAACGTATTTAAGCCATGTCTTTGGTTTGCGTCATGTCAAATTTTCAAAAGCCAGATAGGAGGAAAAACACGCAAACAAAAATAAAAAACACAAACTAAAAATTCAGTATGGTTTGACGCCATTATATTTTATTTTAATTTAATGCACAATCATACCACAATGGGGTTAATGGCATACATGAAATTAACTAAATAACACAGAACATAATACGTCACAAGAATAATAAAAGTATAAGACATAATATAAATATGTACATATCATGCAGATGTCGATTCACTCTCCTCAATGACCATGGCTTTTTAATGAATGGAACAGCATACTGCAGAACTGACGGACATTTTTTTTTTAATTTTCTGTAAAAATCGAGTCTCAAGTGTTTATTTTTTTGGTAAATTTAAATAAGAAAAACGTTTGACAGCATCCACAGGAATAGTCTTTGGAAGATATTACGATCATATAAAATTCCACAACATCTTATACATCTTATAAAAGAATTCTACAGCAGCTTCGGGTGCAAAGTTGCGTACAGTGATATATACTTCTAAGTTAAAATAGGAGTAAGACAAGGATGTCCATGTCATCTACACTTTTCACCATAGTTATAGACTGGATAATGAGACAAAAAACTGCTGAATCCTCAAGAGGCATCAGATGGTGCACATTTACCACTTTAGAAGACCTTGATTTTGCTGACGACCTAGCCGCAATGTCTCATACACACCCACATATACAAGAAAAGACCACAGAAATACAAAACTACTCTGAAAATCAACATAAAAAAAAACCGAAATCCTGACGCTTAATGTAAACAACCCAGAGCTAGTTTTCCTAATTGAAAAACATAACCACACAAACAACATAAACCTTCACAAACCTTGGCAGCACTATTACTACCAATGGTAGAGCAGAATCTGACATCAAAAGACGACTTTCTTTAGCTAGGTCAGTCCTTAACAACCTGCAGGCTGTATGGAGATCCGGGCAATATACCATTCTCACCAAACTCAAACTTTACAACAGCTGTGTCTAGCCTGTACTTTTGTATGGATCAGAATGTTGGAGAATGACAGATCACGACCAAAACAAACTGTCTGCCTTCCACAACAAAAGCATAAGAAAGATTCTGCGATTTTTTTTTACCACAAAAAAAAAACAAACAAGAACCTTCTCACCAGATGACAACAAGAAGATACAGCCACTACTATAACGAGAAGAAGGTGGAGGCGAGTTCGTCATGTCATACGGAACGAGAAAGATGATATTACTTAAACGGCACTTCACTGGACCCAAGAAGGGAAAAGAAAGAGAAGAAAACCTAGAATGACACGGAGGCGAACTGTTGAGGCAGAAGCTAGTCAACAGACATAGGGCACTCTACAGAAAACTGCCAACGACCGACAAAAATAGAAGATCTTCGTTGCTGTCCTACACGTCAATGACGTCTTTGGCAGCAAATTAGTAAGTTCTTCATCATCTATATCATTTAAACATCAATAATGAGGGACAACACATCTCAAACCATCTGAAGACATTTAATCATTTAAGAAACGTCTGCACCATTGTCATCTTATTATCGTATAATTTACATATGTATATTTTTTTATAGATTCCAGTTGCGCTTCCATTGTTACACAACCAAAGACAAGATTCCGTATATATGGTGGTATATTGAAAACAGTACAGACTCTACAAAAATCGTCATTTCGTAAGTTTTTAACTGGTTTCTATCTGTGTTAGTAAAAATTGTCTATTGTATGCCATAAAATATTCATTAGGCGAAAATCATGTTATTTCTTGTCGATAATAATTCTTATCGGTTTGTATGAAGAAAAAAAATTATATAAATATAAAAACTGATTACTTTTCTGTGGACAATTCAAGGCCGTTACATCTTTACCTTAACAACTTTGATTGACCAAAAACTAAAATGGTATATAAGTTTACATTTTGTCAAATGGTACATAAATCACTAGAAGTAATTTCAAAACTATCTAGAGATGTTGAAAATACTTAAATTAACCACATTAAGATTTCAAAGAGATTGTAATGCCGAGGTACAAAATGTAATATTTGCAAGGGATCAGTTAGTTTGACTTAGAATCATAATACAATGATATGGCTATTGTACAGTTCTATACAATATATATTTCTTACAAATATAATCAAATATTTACTGACATTGGTTCATACACTAAAATCGTATTTAGTTACTTAGTTGATGAATCTTTGATTATTAGGTTATGATGATGTTTTGTATGTCGTTTTCTTTTCTTTTCAGCGAACAAAATACAGATTAGCGATACTACATACAAAATATTGTCACGAGACGGAGTTTACAACACACAGAAAAGGGGCTATATAGATCTAAAGGTAATTATAATTTAATGTTGAAATTATTAGAATGGAGCATTTTAAATCGTCTCCAAAATCGACCTAAAAAAATCTTCATTTTACATTCAATACTGTATATTCCACTGAAAGTCAAACAGTTGACAATCATATTATAACCAGATCTCACGTTAAGGCCTCTAATCAAATGAAGGTCTCTACTATGTATTGGCTTTTTAAACTACACAAAATCCCGTCAAACTTCGTTTCTTCTTGGCTTCAAAGTTTGTGTTCTACAACTTGTCTTTTCTGTCCTTTTTGTCAGTACTATCTCCTACGATTTTTATCAAAGAACTCATGATTAAAATTTGTATTAAAAGCATATGAAAATATTTTACTTATTTCTGGAGTGTAAAAAACTGTTAAGATGTTCTAGACATATTAGGTGCTTTTAATGACCCTTCCAATTTCGACTACAGTTAAGACTTTTTGACTCTCTACTGTACACTTTCACACAATCTTATCAAACGGAAGTTTTCTTAAAAAATCATAACTTATAATGACACTACATATGAAATAGGTTTGACTTAAAAGGTTTGAGCATATTTATAGTTGGTTTTAATGCTTTTCTGTTCTTATATTTCAGAATGGAAAGAAAATTTGTACTCACTGGTTACTAGGGAAACGTGTTTCTGTCGTTTCTGTGGCACCAGAATTGAATTATAGACGTCGTAGTACCATCGTTCACCCTATTGAACTGGAACAGAAGCCTTTATATGAATTTGACGCAGAGGAAGGAATGCCTCCAGCATGGACACATGCTCATCTTTTTCAACCTGACGATCCCACAATGCCTCATTGTTCTTTCCAGAGTATGTCAGATTTATCGTCATCACGACGTTACCGAACACAGGGTAATGTGTTGTTTGAAGAGACTGTGATATAAGAACCATGTATTATGAAACATTTATTATATATTTTATAAATATTTGCTTTCTTATAATTGTCACCAAATAGTAGCTGACTATTGAAATATGGCTTCTGTCTTGCCTGCTCTCAAAAAAGAAAAATCGCTTAAACTGATCTGAAGTTATTCAGAATTGTTCATGGCTTGCAATTTGTTGTTGGTTTCAGATTTTATTCCTTTTTATGAAACGAAGGCCTGAACTGCTCCTGTTTGACATTTAGATCAATGTCACTTGTATGGCAGTGTTGGGTGTATAAAAAAATAACGTCCAAACGACTAGGACTAACCCATGTTTTTTTTTAAATATTGTCTGTCGGTGAATCGTGAAATGATTTTGATTAACTAGTTCTTTTTATAGCTATGCATGACACATTTACTGCTTGATGTAAAGTAAATTATCAACATATTATTATTCCCCTAACCCCTTAGCCCCCCAGAAAAGTAGAATGGTCGGTGCCTTAAATGAAATATAAACGATTACAGTCATCTTTGATGTTTTCCTATTAGTGCTTTCCAGTCTTCTATGTGACTGTTCCATTTTCTTTCCTTGACTTATTGGTTGTTGTTGATAGTATCGTATCCAATATTTTGGTTAATCCTGATAAGGCCTATATATAAATAAGAAGATGTGGTATGAGTGCCAATGAGACAACTCTCCATCCAAATCACAATGTATACAAAGTAAACAATTATAGGTCAAAGTATGGCCTTCAACACGGAGCCTTGGCTCACACAGACCAGCAAGCTATAAAGGGCCCTAAAATGACTAGTGTAAAACAATTCAAACAGGAAAACCAACGGTCTAATCTATATAAAAAACGAGAAACGAGAAACACTTACCAGCGACAACTACTGAACAACAGGCTCCTGACTTAGGACAGGTGCATACAAATGCAGCGGGTAATACAGTTATCAAACTTTGAATTGCCTTATAAAGATCTTCTCTAAAAATATAATATGCTTATCAGAACCTCATTTATTATTCTACGAGTTCCTCGCTATGATATCCCGTTTACTGGTCCGTTTTTTGGTATGAATTCCAAGTAACTCCCGCAAATGTTTGGTGCGCTTATCTAATCGACAGTTCAAAGTTGGGCAGACCTTTTTGAAAGGATAGAAGGGATGACAGTGGTGATAGTTGTGTTTAACTGTTGAAAAAAGAAGGGGAATTCGAAGTGATTTTAATATTTGTCTAGGAATTTACGTCATAAATGGAAAGACCATTGTTTTTTTCAATTGAGTTGCAATTCCCCAAAAGAGACCGACTGGTTCGAAAACACATTTTCGTCACTAGATGAATTAAAACATAAGATTCCAGGCAACTGCCATATTTCTGACTTGGTGCAGGCATTTTCCGAAGGAAATGGTGGGTTTAACCTGGATTCATAGTTAGCTAAACCTCCAACTTGTATGACAAGTAATAGGCAGGGTTCTATGAGATATGTCAAGCTTTAAATCATCCGGTGTGAACATATTTGACGAAAACAATCAAAGATCCGACTGCCATTGCAACCAAGTTTCCAAAAAACAAAAAACTTTATGATACGACATACACACATTCTGAAAAAGTTCCTGACTTGGGACAAGCTTAAGAAGATATGGTCAAATAGTTGTTCGAAGATGTGCTGGTGGTGTTGCCACAGGTTTGTGTATGCGTCTAGTGCGGTTGGGAGTCATAGACTCTTACACTGCCGCTGGATAGCTTATATTCATAGGTGAAAAGAAAGCCGAGTGCGTAAGTCTTTCCTGCCAGTACATAGCCTCTGCACTAACAAGACTTCTACAGTGCCTTCTCGCAACAGCACATGGTAACTAGGCTTAACTGTAGAGGATCTCGGAGTAGCAAAGACCCTAGAGATGAAGTGTGTAGGCCCATCGACGTGTGGACATGACCTAGCACTCATCAACCTTGCCCCAGTTATGGGTTAATAGCCGGATGGATGAAGGTCGTCAGCTTTGGAAGGCAATTCATCTAGGAGAATTAAACTCTTATATAAAATTCCGGGTCGATTTGACTCGTCAGCCTTTGTCGGCAATTGATCTAAAGGAAAGAAACCTTGAGTAAAGATTCTCTTGTTCTCCAGGTTGGGGATTGAACGATAGGCCAACAAATATCCTCGTAAAAACTAAAAAGTTACAGAAAAGCGAAATGGAAGAACGACTTTTCTGATGGGAAATACCGAGGTTAGACTGGAAAACAAAAATCAGTTAGAAGGTTCAATGAATGATGGTGGCCAAACCAAGAACCAATTGGAAGCAAACATCAGGAGAGTACCTTTGGTTCACTCAAGAAAACAGATAAAGGTCGGATGCTGGAATGTAAGAACAATGTAAAGCAACTGGAAAGACACATCAGGTAGTAAAATGAAATGAACAACTATGGAACTGATGTATTGGGTATTAGCGAATGTCGTTGAACTGGAACAGGGAAGATCAACCTCAGAGGCGGTGAGACTATGCTATACTCTGGACAAACAGAAAGGCATGAGTATGGAGTAGCACTAATTATATCCAAAGCAAACAGAAAAACACTCATGGAATGATAACCTATTAATGAAAGAATAATAACAGCTTGATTTTATTCTAGACATATAAAGTTGACCATTATACAGTGTTATGCACCAACGAACGAAGCTTCCGATGAAGTAAAAGAGGAGTTCTACCAAACCATGAATGATGTAACAGCAAAAGTCCATAAACATGATATGATAATAGTAATGGGTGACATGAATGCAAAAATAGGATCAGATAATGTTTGATATGAAGATGTGATGGGGAAGAATGGGTATGGTGTTATCAATGAGAATGGAGAATTATTTCGGGATTATTGTCAGACTAACAGCATTGTAATTGGCTCCAGCATATTCAAACATAAAGATATTCATAAATACACATGGACTTCACCAGACGGAAACATCAAGAATCAGACTGACCACATTACGATTGACAAAAGGTTTAGATCTATGGAAGATGTAAGGTCATATAGAGGTGCTGATGTTGGTAGTGATAATGAATTACTTATTTCCAGAGTTAAGCTAAAACTTTTTCGACAGAGAGTAAATCAGAAACAGAAGAAAAGATATGACACATATAAGCTAAAGATACCAAAAGTTGCACACGAGTTCAAACTTGAGTTAAGGAACAGATTTCAGGTATTGGGATAAACAAAAGGCATAGAAGAACAGTGGATAGATATCAAACAAGCAATATGTGAGGTTGGTGAGCAAACACTGGGTTTTAAAGACATGAAACAACCAGAATGGACCACTGCCAACAGTATCCACAAAATACAAGAACGAAAACAGATAAAACAAAAAATTAATGCTACCAGATCACAAAGACAGAAAGAAAAGCTGAAGAAAGATTATAAAGCAAAGAACAAGGAGGTAAAATTAAGTACAAGAGATGATAAAAGGAAATATATTGATAACAAAGCAAAAAGTGCAGAAGATGCAGCAAACAAAGGGAGAGCCGAACAAGCTATATATGCTGAGCAAGAAAATTTCCAACAGTGGCATGAGAGGAAACAGACCTGTAAAGTCAAAAGAGGGACATGTAATAACCAACGAAAAGGAACAATTAAAGAGATGGAAAGAACACTTTGAAGAGATTTTAAACTCGAAAGATCCACCCGTACTAGCAGATATTCAACCTGGAGATGTTGTTGTTTATATGAATATTGAACCACCAACCATTAAAGAGATAATAAAGAGTATAAGGGCACTCAGTAATGGTAAGGCTCCAGGTATTGACCACATACAAGCTGAACTATTGAAAGCTGATGTAGGCACAATAGCAAAAGTCTTTTGCCATCTATTTACAAAGATTTGGAACAGGAAAGAAATACCAACAGACTGGCAGAAGGGAATTATAATCAAACTCTCGAAAAAAGGAAATTTGGAAGACTGTGACAACTGGAGAGGAATAACATTACTATCTGTACCTGGGAAAGTCCTCTGCAGAATTATCATCAACGGAATTAGAGATGTTATTGACAACATTCTACGTAAAGAACAAGCTGGGTTCCGAAAAGGTCGAAGCTGTATCAACCAAATATTCATCCTGAGAAATATAGTAGTACAATGCATTGAATGGAAAAGCCCCCTATTTATCAACTTTATCGACTTCAAAAGGGCGTTTGACACTATCCATCGAGAAACTTTAAAAAAAGATCATGGCAAACTATGGAATTCCAGGTAAAATAATCAGGATGGTGCAAGCATTTTATGATCACTTCAGTTGTGTAGTTGAACATGAGGGTAAACATTCGGATTGGTTCCACATTAAATCTGGAGTCAGGCAAGGATAATGTCTGGTTTCCTTTTCTTACTGATTATAGACTGGACAATAAATTAAAGCAAACAACACGGAAAAGGCGTGGTCTCAATTGGGGAAGATTAGAGGTATTAGAAGATCTTGATTTTGCAGATGATATTGCTCTCCTGTCAGCAACAAGAACACAATTGCAAGCCAAAGCAGATGATAAACAAAAGATAGCTGAAACAACTCGATTAGAAATAAACAAGAAAAAAAGTAAAATAATGTGTGTAAAGGCAAACAACATCCAGCCTATTACATTGGACAACGAAGAAGATGGTTGACAGTTTTACATAACTTGGAGCGGTTATAGCGGTTATAGATACCAGCGACATTGCAACAGCCGACATAAGGAATAGAATAAAAAAGGCTAGAGCAGCATACTACAAGTTAAGAAAAATAATGGCAGCAAACTCATACAGTAGAAACACCAAAATGAAAATTTATAAAAGCATGTACTATCAGTGTTGTTGTATGGCGCGGAATGTTGGAAGATAAGCAAGAGAGATGGAGAAAGACTTAACACCTTTAACACCAGGAACTTGCGTAGAATCTTCAAGATATTTTGGCCAACTATGATTTCCAACACAGAACTGCTGCAAAGAGCCAACATGTGCACCATCACCAACACTTTTAAGACCAGGAGATGGAGTTGGATAGGTCACATCCAGAGAATGGACTCATGGAATGATTGTC